ACACACACACACACACACACACACACACACACACACACACTCCCGCTCACACACGCGCTCTCTTAAGTGGGTCCAGGTCAAGCAGGATGGAAAGGACCGTGAAAACATGCTGGAAAGTCATTTGTGAGTCTGGGAGTCCTGCCCGCTCGCTGTTTGTGCTTTTGGCAGTTGTTGCCGTCTGACCTGACCCTACGTGTCTGTTGGTATCAGAATGCTGGCGGTCTGTGGAGGAGCTTGTTGCCGAACAGAACTGGGGAATGGTTTTAATAATCTCACACGTGGCCTCCTCACCCACGGTGCTGTAGAGGAGAATGCGGCAGCAGTTGTTCAGCCTCAGGTCAAAGGGTCTGAAGGGGGTTTGTTATCAAGTTGTCGTTCACACACACACACACACACACACACACACACACACACACACACACACACACAATGCTTATTCTCACCGGTCCTCCTCTGATGTGTGGAGTGAGAGACGGTCCCGGCACAGAGCCGAGTCTATTTCAGACGTGTGCTCACAGCCTGAGGCCGGTTCCAGATCCACAAAACTCTCTGACAAATGTGTCCCCCCCCCCCACGCATTTTTCCGAGTGACGTTCCTTACCCCCACCCCATCCTATTCTTTGCCTGTGTGCATGTGTGTTTTTTATAGACAAGAGGTCACCAGTAGTGGCTCTCTTTTTTTTTTTCCCCGTTCCCTCCCTCTGACTGCTCCACTTATCTACAGCCCAGCCCGTTGTTTCGTAGCCCTACTGTGGCTCGGTCGAGGACGGCTGCTTTTTGTTTAGAAGTGACTGCTGGAGTTCAAGGGAGGCAGATGTTGGTCGTCGTTGGAGTACAATGCGACGCCAGCACTGGACGGAAGCTCGCCCGGATTCTTCAAGTGCTGCATCAGAGGGATGGGTGTTATTGAAAAAGCCATGAGGAGGAAACGCAGCAGAGGGAAACGAAATAGAGGAGGATCGGTGCCTGGTGAGGAGTGAAGAAGCTTTCGGGGTAATGAGCAACATGTGAACTTGTTAACTGGGCCTGTTCTCTTTGACCTTAATTTAAACTGAGGATTAGCCATCTCATCAGAGTTCTTGGTGGAAAGCCAAGGCTTGTTCTGCCCCGAGCAAACTCTAAAGGAGGATTGGGAAGGAAACTAGCTGCTCATTCCCTCGGAGAAAGCTTTTTTTTTTGCATATTTCCTTTTGGCAAGGAACTTGAAGCGATTAAAAAGTTAATTTATTTGGACCGACTTCAAGAAACGAGAAGCGCACCGCATTTACACTTACCGCCGTAATGGATTTGGATCAGTTCTATAACTCAGCCCGGGAGCGTGCTGTTTATCTACCTGAATTCAGCGCATCAAAGGATCCAAGAGTGTATTGATGATCTCCGCCGTCTCAGGCAATGGAGCTTCGTAAGAGAGTTAAGCCGAGCAAGCTGCAACATCATGCGGGCCCTCCGCGAGATGCTGCAGATGAAGGGAGACGCAGCGGTAACGTGATGCGGAGCACAGAGCGGTCCCATGCCGCCCAGGAGGGCGCGGGGGAGGCGGTTCTGCTCGGACGGTCCGGCGCTCATTCCGGTCTGGGCATTCTGGCCCGGCGGCCCTGGCGACGGCGTGTTTCCATGGCGGCCGGGCTGTCATTAGCCGGGCTGCTGGCGCTGACTCAGGCCTGGTGCGTCAACGCCATACACGAGAACCTGCTGTGGTTCTCTCAGCTCACGGTAGGAGTTCTGACGCCGCGCTCATTTTAAACTTTGATTAGCCGAGCGCAGCGCGGACGAGCCACCGATCCCAAGTGGCAGGTGCAAATGAAAACACCCCTCAGCTGTCCAATCTCGTCTTACAGTAGGAGTCTGTTGACTCTCTCTCTATAAAGCTAGGCTATATGAAATAAGTTCATTGAATATCATATGAAATTATGTTTAGTAAAAAATGTTCAACTTAAAAAGCATCTTGCCTCAGTTAGGGGCCAAGTGGACAGGTTGTTTCTATGTAGTTTTGAAAAGACTTTGTACTACAGACGATGACAGGGTGTCTCAATACATCACGATACAATGGTCACAATAACAACGACATCACGATACAGTCAGATAAACAACAAGCAATATGTTGCAAAGCAGTTCAAACAAAACAAGATTATTTTTGCTGAAATGGCAAAATGTTTTTATAAAACAGGAATAAATCATGAAGTATATTTATTCATTTATGTGCGTTAACTTTTGCAGAACTATCAGCAAACTTACATTAAATGATGAGTAAAAAAGTAGCATAGTGTCTGTTTTAACACATCGCACGTGTCATATCGTTACTTGTGATCTTGTCCTGTCCAGTCTGTCACAGTGTCCTCGAGCAAGACACCCTCAAACCCCCTGATTCCTCCCTAACCACCATGGGACCAGGGTTATCTTTGGGGGGGGGGGGGGGGGG